CCTCACGCGAACAGGACATCAGCTCGCACACTTCGAGCGTGGACTCACACACCCCACGCAGCGCCACACTGCCTAAGTACTCTGGCCAGCTGGGGCTGTCCTACCCCTATCAGAGACGCTGACAATAACCGGAGGAGGCACTGCTATTGACTGTGGGGTTTGGTGAAGAGGAGGAATTCAAAGTTTTCCTTGTCCTTACACCCTGTAACAATGGGAGGATCCATTCGCAGCCCTAGCACAAGCCTCATTTCCAGCATTAAATGTTCTGGTGACTCCCAAACCCTCCTCGAGTGCCTCCACTAACACCGGCCTCAGCCAATATAGCTCCATAATAGAACAAGGGCGGCATTCAGGGCAGCATGGTCCCCCTGCCTCAGAGTGAACGACTCTCTGGGCCATACATGGCCAGCGGTGCAAACCTCACCCTTCAGCAAGGCAGGTCCGGTCCCACTTAGAGCTGGGCAGGAAACTGAGAGAAGATTTGGGCACATCTGTGTTTTGTCCAATTGCGTTTGTTACACTCATTTTCCTAATTTTCCACCCAATCTTTTATCATTTTTTAACTTGGTTTTTAATTTCAAATCAGAGTTTTTGAAAACAAGAATCTTTCGAGTCTGAAAACTCCTCTGCAGAACGAAGGCGACAATGCAAAGAAAGAGGAAAAGAACACACGTGAAGGAACACGAGGCTACAGCTTTCTTAAAAGTTTGGCTAATTTTTTTTTTTAATTCCAATGTTTTTGTAAAAAATTCCATTTTAGGGGAAAAACAGCAAAATTTAAACAGTTTTTTGTTTTGTTTTAAATGCAAACCAATTCTACCTGCTGGCTTCTGCCCGGCCTGTGAGTGGGGGCCGTTCCCCAGGAGCAGGGCCTCGTCCAGGCAGGCTCTCCGACACCAGCCTGCCAATTGTTCCTCGCCTCTGCGACATTCGGAGATGTGGAAAACGGCTGTATTTTAAAAGCCTATTTAGTTGCAGACGCACAAGCTTTCTCCTGGGAATGGGTGACCACTTGAGGATTCCCTGTTCTGTTCATCCCCTCTGGGGCACCTGGCATTGGCCACTGTCGGCAGATAGGAGACTGGGCTAGATGGACCACTGGTCTGACCCAGTGTGGCCGTTCTTATGTTCTGTGACTAGACAGCCTCAGGGTGTGAGTTTTCTTGTCTTGTCAGCCTTGCCCAACATACACCAGAAGACGCTTCCCCTGCAACCCACCTATTCAGTTAGCCTTGGAGGGGCTGATATGACCGTAGATGTTGGCAGGAGAAAGCTTGTGCGTCTGCAACTAAATAGGTCTTTAAAATACATCTTAAAAGGTTTTAAATCAAACCCAACTACCCCCCCAGTCAGCTCTGTGGGGCAGGGGCAGCCTTTTGCCAAGAGTCTGTGCAGCGCTCCCACAACGGAGCCGTAATTTCAGCAACAGCTTCCAGGAGCTACCAGGATACCGACGTTACTGCTACTACTTGTCTGAAGCTCACGCCGGGTGTGGAGTTAGCAAGATGTACTTCTCCCAGTGCAAACTTTCTGGCCCCTGCACCGAGCAGATCAGGGCAAGCCAGCCACCAAACAGCACCGAGGTGCTGACGTACTGACACCAAAGCCAGACCACTTGGATTTAAGGACTGATCCGGTGCAAATAAGAGTCAGGTAATCAATAAGCAGATCATCACCATCTGGGCTGACAACTCTTGGGCTAAATCCTCACCCCGGCTGCAACTGCAATAAGACAGGCGAGGAGAGGAGAGAGGAGACCCTTTAAAGGAGGGTCAGTGACAAAAGGGCTCCCAGGTCTCCAAGGCCGAGCAGCGTTAGCAGCCTCTGCTCTGGTGCTGTGTACCCAGGATTCGCAGCGGGCCTGCACACCTCGACT